GCTGACCCACCTCAGCAGTGTCCATGGCAACTGCCTATAAGGTCATATCAATCAACCTATGAGTACTTAGATTCTGCCAAAGAAATGTATCTGCAATTTAACTATGGCAAAACTAAAACACTATTGTAGATAAAACAAGGACACAATTAGAAAATGTAGGAAGGTACACTACACCTTTCAATAGTTTTGGGTCAGAAAGAAGTCTGTTGTTCTCACCAAGCATTTATTTGATTTAAAAAAATGTAGTAAAAAAGTGATATATTATCACAATTTAAAATAACTTTTTTATTTTAATGTATTGTAAAAATGTAATTTATTTCTGTGATGGCAAAGCTAAAGTCTTTACTCCAGTCTTCAGTATCACATGATCCTTCAAAAACCACTCTAATATGCTGATTTGGTGAAAACTGTTATATAAATATTTTTGTGAAAAAGAAAACCTTTTTCAAGACTCTTTTTTAATAAAAAGGTCAAAAGAACAGCATTAATTTGAAATAATCTTTTGTAACAACAAAAAAGTATTTGATGTCACTACATAAATTTAATGCATCCTTGCTCAATTAAATTATTTTATAAAAAATCTTAATGACCCCAAACTTTTGAATGGAAGTGTACATGTGTCTGACAATAACTCTGATATCTCTGATTCAAGTGTAATGTACACAAGACAGCATGAAATTATTGACTGTATATGTCACACCTTGTTGACAGACTCTCTCATGTAATACTCCTCCATGGGAATGTAATAACCAATCAGCTCCTGCATAGTGCGGCTCAGCTGGCAGTTCTTCAGTAACTGTTCTAAACTCTGCTGATGCTCTAGAAAACAAAACAAACAATCAAACATTAACAATGTCAGCAGAAGATACCAAATCATAACAGTGATGAGTATTCATTTACATAAGCATATTCAACAACATATTCGACACATGCCCAGTTTGTATAGCCTAGTTAGTTACATATATTTCTTTTTAACAGGCAATGGTGGGGAGAAATTGGATTAGGAAGTACTGTGCAGTAGCATGTGTGCTAACTGCTAGGCTACAGCTAATGACAGTTTTGTACTTTATACATTTTGTTTCATAGAGTAGTTTCATTTTGCATAAAAAGTTAGGTGTTACCTTGTATAACTGTTTCATCTGCCATTGCATCTGCAACCTCAAAGTCAGCCACTATACGCCGCCTCAAGAACCGAAAGTATAGCTCGGCTCTGGAGTTCATTAAGGTAACCTCACATAACACGGGATCCAGGTCTCTAGATTAAACATACAACCACAAATAAAACACCATGTATTCACAAGATACAAAGATAAACAATTATAACACGGACCACACCTGGGCTCAATCTTTTCTGTAGTCATGCCCCTCATCATGCTGCTTTGGATAACCTGAAACTATTGCAAAACAAAAGTATGCATCATGTGTATAACTACGTCAAAGCACACTTCATTCATAGTACAAACATTAAGTATTAGTACATATACACACCAATACAGCATACAGTAAAGACACTACACACCTTATTGTTGTAATCTCTCTGTTGGATGAATTTGTCCACTATTTTCTGAGCCTGTTTATCACACTCTTTTTGAAGGTGTGCAAGGAGTGTGTGTAGTCGGCCTGGTCCATAGTATGTTTCCACTATGGGCTGATGGGTTTCAACAATGCGTGCAATACCTAACAGTTATAGACAAAGGCTGGTTGATCTCTGTTTAAACATTATAGATATTGGCAAGTTAAACAGTGATGCATCTGCTCTTACCTTCAAGAAGCAGTGTGAGTGTGTCAGCAAAAATGACCGGTGCTCTGCGTTCGCCGAGATCAGAGCCAACAGCCAGGAGTAAGTTCTCCTCTGCCTTACTGGCCAACTGAAAGAAAAGCAAGCAAAAGACACAGGTTTTAATATTAGAATCCAAGTAACTAAACCAAAGCATTCTCAACTGATTTCACTTGTCATGCAAAGGTAGGGACACACCAAACTGAGGCCAAAGAACTAGCGCTGAGGAAAGCCAACTGTGGCGTCGCCTCGCATCGGAACAAAAAAAGTTGCACTAGAACACACCGGACAGACTACAGCTGACAGCCAACTAGCGTGTACGCTCTGCGCTTGCTTGAGAGAACGTAACTCTCCCATACCAGCAGGTGGCAATAGTCTGTATTCTGCATTCAAACAGGGAAACCGGAAGAGCTAGAACTGTGGACATACACTGATTGCTTTGTATGTCCACAGTTCTAGTTGCAAAAGGCACTGGCATTGTCAGCCCTTGGTCTTCCAACTTTGAAAAAACAAAAGCCGACCAGCGCTCAAAAACCACCCGACATTGCCCGTCGGCTTGGTGTGTCCAGGGCTTAAGGTGGACATACACACATGCCCCTACCTGACTGCAAAGGTACTGAGCAAAGCGTGCAAGTCCCTGCTCATGAAGTCCCAGTAAAGGAAGGATCTTGAAAAAGCGCTCCACTTGAGGCAAGTCGCCTGTGGCAACTGCCTCCTCCAGTCGTGTTGTAACCAGTGCCTTCAGATTGCGCTCTGCTTCCTGAAGCAATGCAAGGCTGGCTTCAACTGCACTGCCTGCACAATGTATAGCATACAGATAATACAATAATATAAGTATCTTATTCTAAGTATCTGCGTGCATCAGTTTGATCAGTTTGTGCACAATGTCTATTATTTCTAGAAATCACATTTAACAATTTGCATAATACTGTTTGTAACAAAACTCTTACAACTTGTTTGTAACAGACAACTTGCAGTGACAAGTGTGCAAACACAGCTGTTCAAAAGTTCGAAGTCAGTGAGATTTTTAATTTTTACATTTTTGTTAGAAATTAATACTATTCAACAGATGCATTAAACTGACCAAAAGTGATAGTAAAGTTTTAAAATATATTTTTGATCAAATAAATACAGCCCCAGTGAGCATAAGAGATTTCTTTAGAAAAAATTAAAAACGTATAATAATGTATATTAGTGTAGTGTATATTATAGTAGCTACAAGGATGACTTATTAAACTGCAAAGTCATAACCATCCAACAAGCAGCTTTTTAAGCTGTTAAGATGTCAGACTTGTTATTCGTTACGAATTATCATACCATTTAATTAGCATCCATCAATTTTCAAATAAAAAGAAAAAAAAAATCAAATCAGATAAAACACTTTTCAATTGCCAAACATATTTCATTCACTGGATTATCCACCAATAGGCAAAAAACATGGTTACTGAAATATAAACAATTTTTGTTGAATTATTCAGCAAAAATATCCATATCATATATTCAATTTCTAACACCAGGCACCCTTGCCATAGACATACATGTTTGAAAATGACTCAATAAATTACTATTCAATAGTTGCAGTGGTAATACTTGTTGCTAGAAAAACCAAAAAGTACTCACCCTCTCCACCCTGCTTGCTGAGCTCAATCACTGACTGGTCAAGAGAAAGATAGCGATGAATGTGGGCAGCAGCTTGCTCGTAATCCTGGTTACGCAGGGCTGTCTGAACACCATCTGTGCAGAACTTCAGATCTAGAATATCATCTGCCCTCTGAATTGCTTGGTACAGCCTTTTCTGAAACAGAACCAGGCGCAAAGCTTGAGTGGAAGCTGACATACACAGACTGAGACTGTCATTTTGATAGAGTGTATATTTTATGCGAATGTGTATGATGGCCACCTTGGTGAGGTCCAGCTGTCTGACTTTGCTGCTGACGTTCTCTGCCAGACTGCATGTAAAGTTGATCATGCCAGACAGCTGCACAGCATCTCCCTCGATCAGCTGCAAGTTGGGTCTGAGGAACGCACAAAAACACAACTCATTAGCACTCTATTCTATTCTTTCAGTTCAACAGCATATGTTAAGTGTAAAACGCATACACACTCACCCCATCCTCTGCAGGGCGAGCATCTTTGTTTCTATGTTGCTCTGCTGTCCCATAAGAGCGCCCAACTCCATCTGCACTTCCGCCTGTCAGGGAGGTGCGTTTATAATCAGTTCATGCCAATGCATAGTCAACATGCACCCAATCTCACAGTTCAGGCACACGCTGATTTTACATATATATATATATATGTAATCAACTAACTAACACAGCTGACAAGCGTTTATCTACCCTTACTAGTAGTCCAGCTCATAGAGACTAACGAACAGCGTCTCCACTAATAAATATTCACCTCTTCGGCACATAGCTGCGCATACACTCGCTCCAGATCCTCCAGCTCTGTCAGACCCTCTATAGTGTCGGACTGCACGGCGGAGAACCCCGTAGGACCACCGCGACGACGCGACGGTGAACCAACTTCATCCATGACAGCCCCACATCCACACAAACTGCGTCACTTCCGCTGACTCTAGCGCGTCATACAACTGTTAGTATTCGACTCACTTTACTCCCACCTAATGGTAGTTTTTTTTAACAAGCAACTTGAAAAGGTTAAACGCCTCTCATACGGTGTAAAAACATAATTCATATATCATAATTCACGTTACATTTGTGACTTGATGAAACATTTTTTACCTTATTGGAATCTTTAGGCCTATACTAGTTATAATAAAGAATTTGGTATGCAGTGTTTTTATATAGGTTCATAGGAAAACACAATACAAAAATTACTATGGCTTTACCAGTGTACAGTCATGGATTTAGATGTTAATACCATGGCACATGGCTGTCTATTGCATGGTACTGAATTATATACTAGCCTATATCATGTAAACTACCATGCCATTTACATAGTTGCTTACTTAAAGAATACCATGGTACTTCAATCATTCCATGTCCAAAAACACAGTAGATGAATACTAGGAACAGTGACAGATTCAGTGATAGAGAAAATGAGAGAGAGGAACTGATAGTAATGGCTTTATATAAGAGGTAGTAATCCGTATTTATTCTCCTCTCCCTTTAGTTTTACGCAATGACATAATCCAAGCCTGTCAATCAGACAGAGGCTTGTCCACTGTGTATGTATTAGAAAGTACCATGCTGGAATTAAAATGACAGTCCTACTGGGATTTTTTTCCATCTGTTTGTATATTGTGTGTGAGTGTGACAGAGAGAGTGAGAGAGAGAGACAGAGAGACAAAAAGCCAATACTCTAAGCTATATAGAACCATTGTCACGGGAGGTATATCCTTCTTCTCTGATATGATGAACAGTGTAGACGGAAATGATCTTTAATCCCACAGTTTTCCCCCCTTTTAATAATCAGATGTCACAGCCCCCGTTTATCCATCAGGCTCAACAGTTGGCTTCAAAGTTGCAGTTTTTTCTGAAACAGGAAGGTGAATGGGACCTCAAAAATGTTTGGATGATTTGTACATGACTGTGTGTTAAAGTGTAAATGTTAAGGTCCTCCAGTGCTTGTGATCAGTTCAAAATTCTGGCTGTTCAACGGAATGCATCTGCTGCTGATCATTTCATTCTGCCTCAGTGAGTAAAAGTTTATTTTATCTTCAAACTTGTGTTTGTGTGTGTAATAACATAATTTGTCTTATATATATATATATATATATATATATATTTTTTTTTTTAAGTATATTTTATTTTTAATGTTATAAAAATTTAAGTTTAATCTATATAAAATCATGCATGCTACACATATATACAAATCTGTTTTGTGTGTGCTTTTTAAATTCTTAGGTCTGTTTTTGTTTTTGAATAGATTTAAATTAGTGGCCATGGTCATAGGGCATAGTATACTGTACATACTATTAAAATACCATCCAAAAGAAAGACATTTTTTGAGGTTCAGAAATTGCTGATGTTGCTGTAGCTAATGTTCCCGAGCTATTAAATGTATGAGTAGTATCTTATATTTCTCTGTTAAAATAAACAAGTACTGGAGAGAAATGGGAAAAATGAGGAGATTTGTCATTTCGAGCTGTTCTGCAGCGAGATTAAATGTAATTTTTACTCTGGGTCTAATCCCTAGATTAATCCATATGACGTATGACAACATCTAACGGTATAGAGAAATAGACACACGTAAACAAAGATACAATAGAATGTTGCTACAATAAAATTGTAGAGTTGCAGCAGACACGTCAGCTGACATTTCTGTCAGTTTATGCCATATGCCAATCTAATAATTGTAGAAATTGAAGTGCATTTGCAGGTCTCAACATTGCAGCCCCGAGGTGTATTATTTTTCACTGCCTAGGTTGTATTCTGTATCATTAGAACCATAGGCTATATTAAATCTGAACAATTAAAACTTTCATATCTGAACATTTGTACATAACATAATCCAAAATTGTACATTTGTAAATAGGTTCATAAACCGTACACCTGTAAATAAAATGTTTGTACATTCCTAAATGTATTATATATTTTTGTAATATTTGTATTACTGTATTGCATATTTAAATGTTTGTCTTTTTAAATGAAATTGTGTTATTTTTATTGCCTAATTTCTGTGTGTCTGTACTATGACTGTACTTTCTTCTGCAATGGAAGCTCCTGTCACCAAAGCAAATTCCTTGTGTGTGTAAACATATCAGGCAATAAAGGTCTTTTTGATTCTGAACTGCATGCTTTAATTTTTTTCCCTCTCAGGTCTCTGTTCTTCTGTGCTGAGTGCAGCAGTATCACATCCATGTAGTTCTGTATACAGAGGTTTTGCTGAGTGTCTGGTCACTTTGGGTGACAGTGTGAGCTCCAAGACTGATAACCCACAGGATATCAACTCCATTTGCAAGTGAGCCACGTTCACACACAAATACACCCCCCACCGAATACAACTTTTTCTCTCAATACATTGCACTTTTCACATCTGCAGGTCATGGGATGCTTTCCAGGTGTGTGTGAGTGGTGTCTTGTTGGGCTGCCGAGGTGATGCAGCAGAAATGTGGGAATCTTTGAGAGCGGAGTCCCGGAAAACAGTGTTTGCTGGTAACCTCTACGACATGTGTGCTAGTCGTACTGAATCTGCAACTGCAACCACACCTCTGGTCCCCAACACTGACTAAACCAACCAGGAAACACTCAAAGGACTCGCTCATTCTGCCAGCCACTCAGTCAGTAAAGAGCTGCTCCTGATATGCTTCTCTCTTCTCCTGCTGCTTTGGATGTAGCCTATCCGTTTAACATAGCTGGACTGATGCCAGTGACACTGCTACAGGCACATATCTGCATACACTCTTTATCTTGGTATATTTTAATTTTATGTGTAATTTAATGTGCTAATGTAATAAGCTCTTTGGTAAGATATTCAAGGCACTTATGTGTTTGTTTAAAAATTATGACAAAATATTTTCTATAAAAATCAGTGATGTTCTATACTCAAATCTAATGGTTTGGTACATGATTTAGTATCTGTAGCTTGTTTCAAATGACCATAATTATATAATATTATATATAATTATATTAATAAATTATATATTATTATATTATATAATTCTCTCTCTCTCTCTCTATATATATATATAAATAAGTGTCTTGAAGTATTTGCAAAATACATTTAAAATATATGCAATAAAATTCAAAGCAAAAT